ATATATATATATGAAATATTTTATTATGATTTTTATTTTGTTACTTTGTATTTGTATTCCATGATACAGCTTTGCGAATGTGCGAAAGAGTTACACAGCCAGCCCCTCCCACCTCAGCTGTGCCACTCCCTTGACGTCACTCCGGAAATCAGGTGACAGCTCCAGTGAGCGGCAGAGAGGCTTGGTACGCAGGACGTGGTACGCAGACGTCTCGCAGCCCGGCAGTGGTCTCCGATTGGCTAGCAGCAATGACGGCAGGGGAAGGAGGAGTTTCCCGCCAGCTGCTGCCAGGTTTCCCGCGAAAGTTGAAAGCGAGGAGAGCAGGGACCGGGGAGAGGTATGCGGGGCCCCTGCGGTCCTTTGTACTATGTTGGGGATGGGGGTTCCGGTGCAGTGACCGGTAGGTTACAGACATTTGGAGGCTGTATTGAGAGAGCCTGCCATGAGTGAGTTTTGCCTGCAGTGGCATTGCTTCTGTAGTTGCAGGCATGAGTTGGCCCTCAGGCTATGCCTGGTCTTTAGACATAGTGTGGAAAGGTATATGACTCCTCAATGGGGAGATCTCCGGATCGGGGGTTGTCACCAATACAGGAAGTCGGAGAATATCTCCACTGAGGACACAGAGTGATGGAAGGCTTGTGGGGTTCCTTCCATGCAGTACTGAAAAATGTCATTTATTGCTGCCTGTGTCCCTGTTGCAGGTTTCCCTTCCTGTTCTGGTGACAGCGACAGGAAGTGAAGCAGATCAGAACCCCGGCTGCAGTATATAAATAAAGGTGTATACCCTCCCACAAAAATAATACCTGTAGCTGGATATAAATGCTTTGGAAATGTCAGTGATGTAATAAGAGACTGAAATCCTGGACAGAGCGGGGGGAGGGGCTGCATCCTGTGCCATGTTTGGGGCGCCTTCACACCAGTGCTTTGCAGTAATGCAGCATGCATGCGTTGGTGCGGGTGCTATTCCTTTTAAATGACTGCACCTGTGTTGCAGCACATTACAGCTGGACTCCAGGAAAGCAACTACAAACACAGATTGCACGCAGCAATACAGTCCATCCAGTCCTGAGATTTGCATAGCACAGCCCTGTCTGGCAGAGGAGGCGACCTGATGTTTCTCTGATGCAGTTCTGTAACACAGGTCTCGTTCCCTCCCAGGCCTGTGATTGGACAGTGAAAGGAGAAGCAGCAGACTGATGAGCTCATCTCTCTGTCACTCGGAGTTCACCTTTAAATGCATGGCCTGCTGTCACGAAGTGCAGGTTAATGCATAAAACGCACTGTGGTCAATGGGCCCTCAGTGCTCGTGTGGACGGGTGGAGTCTCGCTGCGTGTGCCAGTTCGTGTTCAGAGCTGCGCTGTCCCTATGGTCCTTGAAGCGACCACAACCGACGGCGCCGCTCGTAATCGCAACGTAGGAAGTCTCCAGCGACTAAAACAGTAGTTCTAAACCATTAACTTGACATTCACCAAACATTCATTGCAGATGAATCTTCCTGGTGCGTGTTTTTTTAAATGGATTCACCACTAGTGAATGTCTGGCACCAGTCACATTCACTGCTGTATCAATCAATATGCTTTCATAGGGGACACTGCTGCTTTTAATAGCCGGCATTTGGTAGCGACGCCGGTCCACTCCATATCATGTTGTCCCTCTACTTCCTGTCCAAGTGACGGGTGTCAGACAGAACAGGAAGTGAGGGGCGAATCTCTTCAGCGGCGCAGATAAGTATCCTGGCTCTGTAACAGGTTTGCTGCGTCTTTGTGGCCCCCGTGTCGGGGATCCTTCACAGTCAGCGGGAGACATATTTATCAGCGTAGATGAGACGGTGTCCAAGGCTGAGGGGAACTTCTCATTGGTCAGTGCGGATGGAGGGCCGTGCTGACCAATGACTGCTCACCACTGCCGACATAAAGACACATTGGGGGAAATTTATCAAATCTGGAGCCGTTGCACGTGGCAACCAATCAGCATCTCTCTTCAGTTTTGCTCAGGTAAGATTTGAAAATGAGACAGAGAAGCTGATTGGCTGCAGTGCAAGCCTGCTCCAGTTTTGATACATTTCCTTCACAGTATGGTGAAGTCTTGATGGGGTCGGGGGGAAAAAGGCTAACCGGGGTTATAACCCTCCCTCACTCTATCCCAGAAAAGTTCCAGAGCGCATCAAGCATGTGCAACGTGCTCGCAGTGCTGTTACTTGTAAATGGCACCACAAATACAGCTGGGAAAACGGGTGGGGGGGCTCTCCTCACTGCTGGGGACTGGCTGCAGGGGCCCCTGTATCCTCCGTGGGGAGCGGAGGTGACAACACGTTTTTGCCCTGGTGACGAGCCGGCAGGGGTTGAGTCTACGTAGCCGTGAAACAGGATTTAATACAGACCTGAGAGAGGTTCTAATGCAGGGGTAGGCACAGTGGCGTCATAAGGGGGCTGTGGCCTGCACCCGGGTGTCACCATTGCAGTGGTGACACCAAAATGACTGACAGTCACCCCCCCTCTGAAAAGTCAGGCACTTGGTCATGGACCGAGAGCCCGACAGTGTCAGGAGAGAGGAGGGGACCCGGCGGCATACCTCATCCTGCCGGGTGAACGTCCCCTCCTCTCTCTGCCGGCGTCCATCACCAAGATGGCCACCGGCAGGCATCAATCAGATGGTCGCGCAGGCGTCGGGTGACACCCGACCTCGGGACGCCCCTGGGTAGGCAAGCTATGGAAAATAGAGCCGAGAGTGGAGTCTCCCTTTAACCTGTTGTTTATTGCCCTCAGAAGTGCCAGGGACGTCTCCGTGCTCCATATTGCGTCATGCCTGCCGAGAAGAAGCCAATGCGATACGGACACCCTGAAGGCCACACAGATGTCTGCTTTGATGATACTGGAAGGTGAGATCGTGTTTTTTTTTTTCCTCACTTCAATTAAAGTAAAACTGAAGCCAGAAGTTAACTGAAGAGAGAAGCTGATTGGTTACCATGGGCAACTGCCCCAGAATCTGTCTGCTCCAGTTTTGATTAGGGCTGCAACAACTAATCAACAATTTGTATTGCTTTATCTTAAAGCAGAACTACAACCTCCTATCCTTTACAGCCGGGGAAGGTGCCATCTTATCCCCTATTTGGATTGCAGTCGCCAGGGTGCTACACATGTGATCAGCTATGATATCAGCCATTTGAGGGCTGGAAGTTAGGTTGAGAGCTGAAATAAGCGCACTGACAACCTTGACCGTTGGCGTGGCTTATAAGTAACCTTTTCAGGAGACATGGAACTGGTCGGTAAAGTTCCTCTTTCAAGCAGACTAAATTTTTAATGTCTCCCGAAAGAGTTACTATTAAGCCAAGCCAAATGTCAAGGTTGACAGTGCGCTTATTTCAGCTCTCAATTACAATTGTATATATATTGCGCCAACATATTCTGCAGCGCTGTACAATCTTTTAGACAAGTAAGAAACACTGACAAGCATCATTGACATACAAAAACAATAGGGGGGAGGACCCGGCCCAAACGAGCTTACAGTCTGAGAGAACTGAACTTTCAGGCCCTCAAATGGCCGGTGTCATAGGTGATCACGTGTGCAGCACCATGGCGACTGCAATCCAAATTGAGGCTAACATGGCGCCTTCCCCGGCTGTAAGGGGTAGGAGGGTGTAGCTCCACTTTAAGCAATGACAACGTTACTGCCGAATACACAAGTCCTCATCAGAAATGTAGAAATTGCTCCGGTCCATAGTGGGGTGTAGAGGGGCGAGTGCTGAACTGGCTGATCACATGCTTTTCCCTCCAGTCATATAGTGACTTGTGGCAGCGATGGCGACATCCGCACCTGGGAGGATTTGGATGACGATGACCCGAAGTCCTTCAACGTCGGAGAGAAGGCCTACTCCTTTGCTTTAAAGGTAAGCAGGCGATTGATTTACTAAAGGCACATGGGCTGTTCACTCTGCATGGGAATTTTCCCTTAGCTTAGTGACGGTGGTACAAATTCACTTTGCAAGGGAAATTTAAAAAAAACAACAGATTTGGTTTGCACGTGATTGGATGATGGGGAAGTCAGCAGAGCTTCATCTCATTCGCCAAGCCAATGGGAATTTCCTTGCAAACCTAACAACCTATTTGCCTTTAAATCAGGGGTAACCAAACTGCGGCCCTCCAGCTGTGGTGAAACTACAACTCCCATGATGCATCTCTCTCCGGGAGTCACGTCTGTGGCTGTGAGAATCTTGCAATGCCTCATGGGATTTGTAGTTCCACCACAGCTGGAGGGCCGGAGTTTGGCTACCCCTGCTTTAAATCAACCCCTAAGAGGCAGCAAATGAGTCTTGGGTCAAATGTGAGACTGGCTATGAAGGGCAAAGCAACACCTTTGATTTATTGCCCCCACCCAACACACACACCTACACCTACCTTTCTCTTGCTCCCGTTGTTCACTTGCTTGCGGGTGCACGATTGTCCAGTTACAGCTTCTTCTTCTCTCCTGACGGCCGAATTGAGAGGTGAGGAAGGTAATTGCTGTATGTGCAGCTTGTGGCATGAAGGGGAACCTGTTGTTTGTCGTGCATGAGCAAAGCACAGGCTACACTTCAGAGTTTTTAATTTTGGGTGGCACGGGGCAGGCTTTTATTCTGCACATGCTTAGGACAAGGAGTCCTCCGCTCAGTTTTGGTGGAGTCATATTTAGAAAGCTGTACTTATTATTATTTATTATTATTATTATTACATTACAATCACATTACAAGACAAGATGGTAAGGAGGGCCCTGCCCCTAAGGGCTTACAATCTAAAAGGGAGGGGCCAGTGATACATGAGGCGGTAGCTGTGTGGGGATGAATTGTTTGAGAAAGTGATAGTTCAGTGACATAGAGAAATAGGCTGAAACGCCGACACAAACATACTGGCTTTCTAGCTGTGTTGCCGGTCAGTGCTTTCAAAACTTCCTCACAGTAGATGAGAGGTTGGCAACCTAGACACTCCAGCAGTTAGGGAACTACAAGTCCCACGAGGCATTGCAAGCCTCTGACAGCCACAAACGTAACTTGCAGAGGCATGATGGGATTTGTCATCTCATCACATCCGGAGTGCCGAGGTTGCCTACCCATGCAATAGATGTAAGAATTGAAGCTCCAGGCCAATTTAAATATTCCAGATACAACTTTTATTCCTCCAGTCATTGGTCTGAACATGTCTGGCTTGAACTATGAATCTATTCGCCTGTATTCCAGGTATCCAACCTGCAGTCAGCAGGTATGTAGACGGCCTTCGGGTCTGTAGGATATTGTTGTAGGGCAGAAGAACTCTTGAGATTGTCTCCCAGTCTGACCAGATCTGCTGATGTCTGGGGGCACACTCACTGGCTTAAAGTGCAACTAATGGGAAAAACAAAATCGCTGGGGACTTTGTATGTCTCTTCTGCCAAGAAAACAAACAACCTTTTAGCCATTTTTTTAAAAAATATGTATTTTTTGTGTACACCGGGCTATTTAAACTTTAACCCTCCAGCGGTGGTAAAACTATAAGTCCCATGAAGCATTGCAAGACTCTGTCAGCCATAGGAATGACTCCTAAAGGCAGGGGTGGGATTTGTAGTTTCAGCACAGCTGGAGGGCCACAGTTTGGCTACACCCCCCCATCCCCCCGGCGTACACTGCATTGCTTAATACTTAAACTTAATGCTAACTATGTTGATTTCTATCCTGCCACAGAATGGGAAGGTGGTCACTGCCTCCTCCAACAATGCAATTCAGCTTCATACATTTCCCGATGGAGACCCGGATGGAATTCTGACACGCTTCACCACCAACGCCAATCATGTCGTTTTTAACCGTGACGGAACCAGAATCGCAGCGGGCTCCGGGTGAGTGTCTTTTCGGGGGTCCCATTATATGCTGTTGATGAGTTACTGCTATGACTTGAAATATGTCAAGCTCATCTAAGGACAGCGGGATGCTGAAATCCAATTCTATAGTTTTCTATGTAGTACTATAGTATGTATGTTTCTATGTAAATCTATAGCATGTTGCATTTTGGACAATTTTCTCAGAGACCATAACATACAGGGGTACAGGTACCCTTTAAAACAAGATCACACAGGGACTCATACATACGCATGCAGAATCACATACATACACGCAATAGGTTGAACTTGATGGACCCGTGTCTTTATTCAACCTCAAATACTATGTAACTATGTTTGTATATACAAGCAAATTGGCCAATAGTACGCTCCTCCATGTCTTCCTAGTAGAACCAGATGTTTATTATAACAACAAAGCAAAACAAAAGGCCGTATATAATTCTCCGCTGTGCGCCATTGTCAAGATAATACACAAATAACAATTGCCACGCAGCTTATGAAATATGCATGACAAGCAGCTAACCTATTATATTGCCACGTTTACGTCCCCACCCTGAACAACCTGCTCTGTATAATGCAAAAGGAAACGCCTGATTACTTGTATTTGGTGCAATACAACAGTTCCCTGCTATCCCCTTGGTTCTGGGTCATGTGACCAGATGCCTAAGCATTGCTCCCATTAGCTCTGCTGAGGGAAAATTTTAGAGTTCACACAGGGACGCCGATAATATCCTCAATCATCTCCTTCAGCAGAGCTCATGTGAGCAAAGCTCTAGTTGTCCTAAGTTACAGTAGCACCCAGGACGTGCAGAACAGTTTAGATCTCCTAATGGGGGCTTCTAATGATTTTGTCTGAGTTTATAAAGTTGGCAGGGCTGCTGATATGCAAATTAGATAATTGCCTAAACCAGGCACCGGGAACTTAGTATCCGTGCCACTTTAGGGTCATTTCTCTGTCTGTTCTCCCTCCATCTCATGATAGTCATGATGTGCTGGACTGGGGACCTGACCACACATAGCTCTTCATTCCCTGAATGTTTTTTTTTAAATTTATAAACAGTGAGATTTGTCCATATTGGAAAGAGGGAATATTCTTCTAACATTGTGCTTGTGGTCAGTCTAGATGGCGGAGTTCTTATATAAAGTACAGCTATGGGCAAAAATGTTATGCTCTCTGTAAACCCTCAATAAACCTTTAGGCCCCATTCACACTGAGCGATTCGCAAATCGATATTGCGCAAATGGTTGCATTGAGCAAACTAGAATCGCGGCAAAATCCGCTCCAAAAAGGGTCCTGCTGTAGCGACGCACGACCCGCGACAGCGACGGACAGAGCCCCATTGCCATGCATTGGAGAGCGATATCGCGCGGATCAGTGTGAATGGGGCCTCAAACATAAATTCAATGCCTGATGATCCTGCCAGCGGTGGGTACTTCCTATGACAGGGTGACAATACACTATTTATGAATTTTGGCCCGTTCTCGGCTGGCATCCCTCGATCAGCTGATCAGAAAATCTTCAAACGAACCGAGCCATCAGCTGAAAGAATACAATGCAATCAGCGGTAGATTCCTCGATCAACGCTCATAAAGCTTGATGAGATCTGTAATATTTTCATCATTCAAACCACGGGCTTGTATGGCCAGCTTATTTCTCATGCATTTACATAATTTCAACGTTGTCATCTTGTGCCGCTCATTAAACTACAGGTCTGCATGCCTGTGTAGCTGGAGGAGGATTATCAGTGTTGTCACCACTGCCTGTCGGTGGCAGGAAACACCCAGCTCCACCTGCAGGCATTTTAATTCTCCTGTGGTGAAGAGTAGCGTGGCTCTGCAGGCCACCCTGTGTAGTGATATGCACCCTGTTGGATCTATTCCACTGGCTCTTCACTGGTGGGGGGATTGCTTTGGACTATACAGGGGGAGGACTTGGTTCTAAAATACATTTTTCCTGTTGTTGAACTTCACCCTGGGCCTGTTGCTCAGGTATCAATTGTAGGGTTTGTACAAAGAAGCCTTTCCACATCTCCTTTTTGTTGGCTTGCATCTCAGTGCAAAGTAAGCAGTTACTGTGCGTTTATGTGTACTGGGTGGGGCTTCTCTTTTTTGTGGGCTGTCTAGCGTCCTAGTGTGCGAGCAATTTTATTTATTTTCTTGTAGCGATTTCTTGGTGAAGGTGGTGCAGGTGGATGACAGCAGCGTGCAGAAGACGTTACGTGGACACGAGGCGCCCGTGCTGAGTGTCTCTTTCGACCCCAAAGATGACTATTTGGTGAGATTTCTGTAATGACCTTTTCTTATAACTTTGCCCTGTGAACATCCCATGCTGGAGAACATCACATGTTATATCACATCTTATATCACATATTTATCTATCTCTTATAGACTGTGTTTCTTCAGGAAAGTGTATCTAACCCCAAAAACAAACAAATAAAATATTTCCTGTGCTCCTCCGCTGGCTGCAATGCTGTATTACATTGTAACATTCAAAATGACATTCATCCTGTAGAGAAAATATACTAAGAACATTTGTATTTGCCTCTCTTCGCACAGAATGAACATTCAAAGAGTTTTGCAGCAGGGATGGCTCTGTGAATGGTTTATAAATAGATCCTTATGGGTCTGCACTTTTTTAAGCTATCCATCATCTGGTCCCCTACCTATATCTCTAATACTATGCATTGGAGCCCCTAAGGAATACTTGAGTCCTTCAGCAGGGCCAGTTGTGGTTATCCTGCTGCATCCAGACCCATAGGGAGCAGAGCACTACAAAGCCTGGTTTTGTATTGTCATGGGGTCTTGTTTATTATGATATATTCATCTCTTTTCCCTGTTGATCTTTATTTTTAAGGCCTCCGCCAGCTGTGATGGGTCAGTGAGGATCTGGAAAATTGAAGATCAGGTTAGTGAATATTTGGAGTGTTGCCTGTGTATATTATGATCTGGCTAATTTTCTCTTTGATAACCCGTTTTATTTGTGTTCCTGTAATTAGGTTTGCGAAGCCAACCTTTCCTTGCTGCCAAAATGCAGCGATGTGATGAACGCCAAGTCCGTTTGTAGATTAGCGTGGCAACCCCGGAGTGGAAAGGTGAGAGAAAAGGTGTCATAGTACAGGCAGCATGGCGGCTTAAGGTGAACTAGTCAGATCCACCGATGCATTAAGACTCACAGTAGTGCCAAAATGCTGGCACTTTATAGCACCTGTCATACTCATTTGATTCCCTAATTTCTTTGTGCCGGAGAAATCCATGATTTACATCCCGTCTGCACACCTACTACTGTTCCACTAATCCATGCCTCCATCTTACTATGGGCCATTTTACAGTCCAATACCAGAAATTCAGGGACTTGCAGAAGCTCTCACATTGGACTGATAAACGCAGAGGAGAGGGGCTGTGGGGGGAATGGGTGGGATTTAAGCTGCAAGAAAGAAAAAATTCTAGGCTTTGTGTTAGAGACCCTGTCCTCTGACCATTCATTTCAACAAAAATCATGCCTTAATATTATATGTGCATTTAACATATTTTAGGCATGGTATCTACCTCCCTTGTATAACCATCCAAAGACCATGACACTGCTGCTGAGTGCCACCATCTTGGATGTGATGTGAGCAACCCCAACAGACTCACAGCTGTCATTTTATAGCAGGGGTAGGCAAACCTTAGCCCTCCAGCTGTGGTGAAACTACAAAATTCCATCAAGCCTCTGGAAGTCATGTCTGTGGCTGTTAGTCTTGCAATGCCTTATGGGACTTGTAGTTTCACAACAGCTGGAGGGAAGGAGTTTGGCTACTCCTGCTCTATTGTATTCCCCTTCCCCTCGTGTGTCAGCTACATAAAAAGGTTATGTAGGGAGGTGAGAAGAGCAGCGGAGGAGCTGGACCAGCACTAAGTGTAAATAGACACTCCCAGAACAGGAGAGGGCTATCACATGCAAGGAGAGAGGTGGCTGTGTTAGGGAACTGACTCTTCCTGTAAGAGTAACATTTTCTAGCAAGTTCAAAGGCGCATTGCCAGTGATTAAAAATAATTTATGGAAATGAAAAGTGTTGGAAGCAACTCTTAAAATACTCGATTCTTCTGCGCTTTTACCTACAATTTTAAGTTGGTGACAGGGTCTCTTTAAATGTATGTCCATGTATGCAATCTGATATACAGTATAGAACTCTAATGGAATATATTTGTTTTGACAGCTGCTTGCAATCCCAGTGGATAAAGCCATTCACCTTTATGACAGGGGCACTTGGAAGAGCAGTTTCTCTTTATCTGATAATTTTATAACTCAGGTAAGTTTATTGATCATGGAAAGTTTAAAAGTTTGCAACTCTGGCTGATGATTTTGTCGTGAATAAAGGAGGATTTCCTCCACGTTTGGCATTGCTCCATGTTTGCCGGCTCCGCAGAGGTTCCAACTGTTGAGCTCTATATTTGGACTTTCTCTGGTATAAGCTTTCAGCTCCAGGTTGTTCTGCAAAGAACCTGCCTCTTGTGTTAGAGAGCCTGCTGCTTTAACCTTCATGGCACAGGTTCACTTTTAAAGGGCTTTTCCCCATAGTTCTCCTAAGGGTAATGGGAGGACACAAACTAGCGTCCTCCCGTCACCCTAGGCTCAGTATACCGCGAGCTACAGCTTGCGGTATACTGAGACGCCGCTGCTGAAACGGATCCCGACAATTATGTCTGGATCCGCCCAGCTGCGTGAGTGACAGCAGGCTCTGCCTATCTAGAGGCAGAGCCAGCTGTACCCTCCCCTGTCCGTTCCGCCAATCAGCGCTGGAGGATCGGACAGGGGAGGGGGGAATCCAGTCCCTCCCCTGTCATGGCCCTCTGCAGTGACAGGATCGAGAAGTGAGCGAGAGCCGGTATGTGTTCGCTCACTTCCCGATCTACTGAGCCGACCTGTGACAGTCTCATTGTCACAGGTCGGCTCGAACTATGAGGTGAGTGAAAAGCACCCCCCTCATAGTTCTCCTTTAAGTACAAATACAACCAAAAGCTTTATAAAATTCAGTGGCGAAGGGTTAAAAATTAATCAGATTTATATTGCTCTCCTCTTTTGAAGAGATAATTGCTCCTTTTATAAACACCCTGGATTCACATTCATTAGTGGATTTAAAAGACAACTGCTTGCTCATGAGAGGAGTATTGGCAGGAAGTTATGTACAGCACCCTGCCAGCCCCCTACCCCTTAAAATAATGTACATAATAAAAACAGGCTGTATTTAAAAGTTTTGTTAGCATGCTGATAAGGAGGGGGGGGGCTGAACCAGAGAAGGCAAGAAGTAGATTACACTTCAGCTTTAACTACTCTTAGATACACTTTTTATGTAACCTGATTCCACAGCTACAGTCACAGGGACATAAGGCTTAATGATACAGTAAATGCATACAGATATGGACAGAAGCATTTTCCAGTTTGTCTGCCCACACTTACACATATATACCCAAACATCTAGTAAGTTTCCCTATAGCCACAAATAGGGGTGACTACAGGGGTAAAAAAAGCATACTGGGTTTCTGTATTACTTTCCTAAACGGTTCAGCCATTGGCCACACCAGTCATTTTTGCCCTAGGGTTCGGGTCCCGTTATGACCCCACCTTGACTTCTGTATCTTGCAGCCCCTGAATGTGGTCACCTGGTCTCCCTGTGGACAGTTTATCATAGCGGGAAGTATTGACGGCTGCATCGTAGCCTGGAACGTGTCTACCAAAGCTTGCTTGGAAAGGTAACGTCTGCATTGTACAGCACAGCAAATATAATGCATGCAATTCGCTAGAGTGCTTCTTTCAGCTGAGCAAAATTATTTTGACCAATAGTATTTCATACATTGACACTGACCTAGGCAATTTAAAATGTAACTCTAGCCTGCACTGATTTTTTGCTTCTCCTTCTGTCCTAGGGTTAAGCATGAGAAGGGCTTCACCATCTGCGCCCTGGCCTGGCACCCTAAATTGCCCCAGGTTGCCTATACCGATAATGAGGGCAATCTCGGACTGCTTGACAATGTCTGCCAGGGTTGCGCAAAGTCCACCGGAGACAAGGTAAATCATGTTCCATATACGTTGTCCTTATTGAAAGAATCACTTTAATTAAAAAGTAAATGCCCCACTGTTGCTCTTTGCTCCCAACCACTTTCTACACCCGTTGGAGCCTTGTGGTAAGATCCAACTTGGTCTGGTGAGAGATTATACTGGACTAAGCCCTCGTTCACACCTGAACGTTTTGTAGCGCGTTCTACGCTCGACGAACGCTCTACAAAACGCTCAAAAATATAAATCCCATTGTATTCAATGGGTCTCGTTCCCACCTTGGCGTATTTCCGCCCGTCCCTAACGCGCTACAAAACGGCCCACGCCTGAAAAGGTACATGTACTACTTTGGGCCGTTTTGTTGCGCGTTTCCATTGGGATACAGCCAAGTAGCCTTCGGAAACGCGCAACTTTTTTACAGCGAATCGCAACGGTTGCGCGACAGACGCGCATATGCAATACGCCTAGGTGTGAACAAGACCTTAGGGCTCACTGCCCCTAGCCATGTGACAGTGCTTGAGTCTGACTAATGGCCACTTAGGCACTCAGCTGTGCATAGTGGAAGGAAGGGGAGAGTCATGTATACCTCTAAATACCAGGTATATAAAGTGTATCTACACCCAAATATAATATATTGCAGCTTACCAGTCCTTTTTAGTTGTGTTTTGTGTTATTTTCTTCCAGTATTTTTACCTGGGGGGGGAGGGGTCATGCCAGTTACACACTTCCCCTCCTAGGGTGGAAATGTTCACTCGCTGTACTGTATGTATAGAGGAGCAGCATTGTCACCCTAGGACAGGAAGTGTGTTACTGGTTGGATTACCAAGTGAAAATAATGGATAATAATGGTGCGCACCGCCTTCTCTCCTCATCTCCATGACATAGTGGTGGTGGGGTTTGTAATGCACAGAAAGAACTGGGTAGAGCAGGCAGTCTACCATCTGTTAACAGTGCTGTTACAAGTCCACTGGATTTCTGCAGGATCAATGGGAATTGCTATCACATTGCTATCACATCATATAGCATTTTAGCTATATGATGTGATAATGGCAATCGAGTCAATAAACCGTTTTTGACTTGAAATTCTTTTGGAGTGCGAGTGACTTTATACATACACTTATCTTGGATTGCAGAGGCATCTGCAGTCACTTTGGCACCCACCCGACTCTAAGGCCCGGTTCACACCTGGCTGTTCGAACGCTCTGCAAAACGCTCAAACACCGAAATCCCATTATTTCCTATGGGTATGGTTCACACCTGGGCGTATTACAGGCTGTATGAAAGAGCTACAAAACGCCCAAAGAAGTACAGGAGCTTCTTTGGGGCGTTTTTGTCGCGCGTTTTCATTGGGATACAGCCAAGTAGCCCTCGGAAACACGCGTTTGTCGCGCGGTATTAAAAACGCGCGTCACGGTACGCGACATACGCACATAGTTAATACGCCTAGGTGTGAACCCAGCCTAAGGGTATTATTCGGCCAGGAGTGTGATGGGTACACTGGATTTTGTATACTGAACAAAGGCACAGTGGTGGTCAGTGACAATTATATTTATAACCCCCCATTTGCAGTCAGCGGCAGGGTTCCCCCCCCCCCCGCATTTATTCAGGCTTTAAAAAACCCCCCCCCCCCCGGCATTGATCAGTGCTTACCTGATAACATGCTCCCGCACTGCTCTTTCTCCCCAACAAGGCTTGGACTTGTACTGTCCAGTGGAGACCACTCAGCAGAGTGTTTTTGTGCCCCACTGCCGAGTGCCCAATAGGTGGCAACCCAGCCCAGAGAGCCGACATGGAGTCTAACATAACACGTATACCAGACCGGGATGTCTTGTGGATTTTAATAAAGCGTTGAGCAGCTGAATAGATTACTGTTCATGTACTTTTACATCGATCAGTATATTTTCCAAGAGCCTGGTGAGAGCATTTCATATCTAATAAATCACCACCCAGCTACAGGGTTTTTCAATGCATGTTTAAAACATATCAAATGTTTGTGTCCGTAGCTTCATACGCTAATGAATATCCAAATAAGTCATAAAGCTGCAATTAGCGTATTGACCACATTTTACAGCTCTTTGATGTTCTGCTCTGTTCCTCTAAGACCGCAGTGGCCGCCACCAAAGATTATGATGCGCTGTTTGATGAGGACGGGGATGATGAAGACTTCTTGAACACGGACATGATCGATCACCAGGCGTCTGTTGATAATGAAGAGGATGATGATGACTTTGGGCCTGTTTCAGGCCGTGCGAAAACCCGCGGCATCCTGGATGACGACGATAATTCTTTAGGTATTGACATTTTTTATGTTATTAATGAA